GTCTATAAACTCACTAGGGGGAACCAGAAGGGTTTGGGGGAGACGCTGTTTCCCCTAGCCCCCGCTGGCATAACAAGGAGTAATGGGCACAAGTTGATGGAGAGGAGGTACAGATTGGACATCCGAAAAAACTACTTCACAGTTAGGGCGGCTAGGAGCTGGAACCAACTTCCAAGGGAGGTGGTGCTGGCCCCTACCCTGGGGATCTTTAAGAAGAGGCTGGATACCTACCTGGCTGGACTCATTTGAGTCCCGTTTTTTGTTTAGGGTTCTTTTGTTGTTCTCCCGCCCTGGCGGGGGGTCGGGCTAGAAGATCTATTAGGTCCCTTCCGACCCTAAAAACTATGAAACTATGATGTCCAACAAGAAGAAATTCTTCTGGATCTCAAAGAGATAATTAGTCAAACTGAAAACCTCATAAGAAACAGTTCTGTTGCAACCAGTGGCCAAGGGGATAGGATGGGCAATGGGAAGCAAGAGGCCAGTGGGCAAGCTTAAATATGTGGAAAGTAGGATATGCAAAAGCCTAGCCCCTGCAATACCAGCTAAAAAATTATATCCTATTAAAATCTAATCCAAAAGTGAAGTCTCCAGGAATTGCTTTACTCCTGACTGGGTGCATCTTACACGTGCAATTAATGTGAAACAATAAACTCGGAGCAGTTTGAGCTGGAATAAACTACTCCTGGGCACAGCATGTACATGGGACAACAACAGTTTGAGCCGGGGCAGAGCAGTTTACACCAGGGCCACTCAGCCGCTTGCTCTGGGTGGTGTCGTTGGGTACTGGAGGGAGGGGCTGGCTGGGGCACGTGGGTGCTGAAAGTATGGGGCCATGTGTCTAGGTGGCAGGGTAGGAGGCAGGCAGGAGTCTGCCCCCTGGCTGGCTGAGCTGACTGGGTGCAATTTACACCTGTGGTCAGCATCTACACGTGTGTTTAATCGCTGTAATTTACACCCCGCATAAAATAGAACTGTCTCCGAAAGTACTATTTTACTGTGGTGTAAATTAGTATACTGTGACCTAATACTGTTGCATGTGTGGATGGTGACGCTTTACTCTGCAGCTAGTCTATTCCGCAGTAAAGCAAATGTGTACATGTGGCCACTGACGTGCAGGATCCTCTCAAACTGAAACATAACAACTATTTAAAAAACATAACAACTTGAAACAACCATTACATCAGGGATTAAGAATACTTTGTTCCACTGAAACTTCAGAGGAGATTAGGCAGGCAGCATGTAATATTTAGAGCTGAAATTTGTCATGACAACAGGACAGGCAGACAATTGAATTTTGAGGTGTAATTGCTATACTTATTTATTCTTATAAAATATCCATGCTACTGTAAATATTTCTGGTTGCATCAACATCTGCTTTATATAAATACCTGACAACTGCTTTGGCTACAGTAATCTTTAAGGACCTACTTTCAAATTATAAAACACTTTAACTGGAAATAGTGTGCTGTGTTTGTTTAGTTCTTTCCCCTAGAAGAATATTTTCCCTCTGAAATTTCTAGATTTGAGTGCTTACCAGCCGACAGCTTTAGTCGTTCTTGCTTTTAAAAAAACTGATTACTACTTTTAGTTTGCTTATTGGGAATGCAGCTTATGGAAAATATTAGAATCTTTCTTTCCTAAATATTTATAGGTTTAGCATCAATTGTAGGGGAGCCCTTATTCTTTCCATTACATTTAAAGACAGAATTGCAGTATACTTTCTAGAATCTGTAAAGGCGTAAATTACCTACTTGGTATATCTACACGAGATGCTAACTATGCAGTAGCTGAAAAATACTGCGCAGCACGTCACAGCATGGACAGTGGTAATATGCTACTGCACAGTATTTATTAGGTTACTGTGCAGTAGTGTCACCTAAAAGATGTTAGCTGGCCCTACTGCACAGTAGCTCCGGTTATTGCGCTTTTATTTAGTACTCACTAATACAAGTACTAAATAAATGCACAGTAACTACTGCACGGTAACATCTTGTGTAGATGCATCCACTCTAAAGTTTTATTGATTGTCATGATGACATCTTAGCCTTTGCTATTCTCTTGACAGATCAGTTTAATATAATATGACTATATAAGAATGGCTTATTTCATTTATCATATTTCAGTCACAAAACTGTTTTGTGCTTTTTTCTAGTAGACTTTTTCTAGTATATCATTTAGGTCTTCTTGAAATAGATTGTTTATTTAGGATAAAATCCAGAGGAAAAACAATAAAATCTGAAATTACAGTTGCATTTTGCACCATAATTGGGCCACATCCAAGGGAGGACACGTGTCAGTATATTTAATGTTAAGTATGTGAGTTTTCTTAAGCAAATGAATAGTTGTTCTAAGGTCAAGCATGTGTGTAAAAGGGCTTTAGGTATATATTCCAAATAAGAGCATATGTTTTCCATTTACATCCATTAAATTTGTCCAGACTTACACTAAAGTCAGTGAAATTATTCCAGACTCTGGCTAGTCCAGACAAGAATTTCTCCTATCATCTCTTGATCTGTAAATACTAAGGAAAGATTGTAACACAGTAGAAATTACTCTTTTTACATGCATATAATGAAGAGTGGCATATCTGAAGCTGAATAAAAATCTATAAGAAATTTCTGTAAGAATCAACTTAATTGAATGTATCCTCAGTTAATACCAATAATACATTAACTTCAGAAACTATTTCAGTAGAACTACACAATGAAAGAACACATTTTAAAATATTGCTGCCTTATGAAATATAGATGCTATTCTTAATGAAGTCAAATGTGATTTCAGTCCTTTGCTTTTAATATGTATGCAGTCAAAATGATCCTACATATTTAATGCATTGTGAAAAAATTACAGGTTGTCTTTAATTGTATGAATCTTCATATTTATCATTTGTAGGCATGTTAGGTAAAGGGGTTTCTTTTTAAAGTTAGTGGGTCTAACTCTTTATAGTCTGCTGCATTACAGAATTTGTAACAATCTACTTTTGTCATGTAATTGTGTTTCAGTACGTAAGCTTTCTTATTAAACATTATTTCTCGTGGATGTGGAGAGAACCTAAAAAGTTTCCAAATATGAAATAGCGAAAAACTTGACCCTGCAAACAGACTGAAGGGATATCCAGAAGAGGGTTTGAACAGCTCCTTTCTTTAAGCACATTTAACTCAAACCTAAAGTTGATGAATTAAATATTAGCTCTTATGTTGCTGACACAGCTAATATGATTACCCAGAGCTGTGTTCAGCTTTTATTGTCTTTTCTTGCCATCAAAAGTTTCAACCTTGTCACAAGATCGCATATAAACATCATCAGTACAAAAACCTTTGGCACTGGGGGTGTCAGAGGACCTGGGGGTTACAGTGAACAGTAAGCTGAATATGAGCCAGCAGTGTGCCCTTTTTGCCAAGAAGGCCAATGGCATACTAGGCTGCGTTGGTAGGTGTGTTGCCAGTAGGTCAGAAAGTACATAATTATTACCCTCTATTCAGCACGTGTGAGGCCACATCTGGAGTACTGTGTTCAGTTTTGGGCCTCTCACTACAGAAAGGATGTAGACAAATTGGGGAGAGTCCAGCAGAGGGCAACACAAATGACGAAGGGGCTGGGGGACATGACGTGTGTGGAAAGACTGGGGGAACTGAGCTTGTTTAGTCTAGAGAAAAGGAGACTGAGAGGAGACTTAATAGCAGTCTTCAACTACCCGAAAGGGGGTTGGAAAGAGGATGGAGTTAGACTGTTCTCAGTGATGTCAGATGACAGAACAAGGAGCAATGGTCTCAAGTTGCAGCAAGTGAAGTTTAGGTTAGATAATAATGAGAATTTTCTCACTAGGAGGGTAGTAAAACACTGGAATGGGTTACCCAGAGAGGTGGTGGAAGCTCCATCCTTGGGGGGAACCCAGCTAGACAAAGCTTGTCTGGGATGATCTAGTTGAGTCCTGCTTTGAGCAGGGGGGTTGGACTAGATGATCTCCTGAGGTCCCTCATAACCCTATGTTTCTATGATTCTAGAGCATGACATTGAATGTAATGTGGGTTCTGTTATGCTGAATAATTTTTGTATGTAGCCAATTCCAGATGTGCTTGTATAAATCTCAGATGTATTACATTTAAGAGCGTAGTATGAATTATGCTCTCCATCCTCTTTATTGTCCTTTTTTTAAAGGACCAGTGACTGAAAAGAACGGGTTGATTTGCAATCTTCAGGGTAGGGGAGAAATACAATTTATAATTGTATAAATTACTCTATGACTCTAAAATAAGGTTTTTTTTTATTTAAGAAAACTTTTTCAAAAGCAGTGTGTACTTACTGGCACAGATGCATTTCAGCTATGTTTTGTTTGCTGGGGGGGAGGGGAAAGGTAAATGTACAATTTTTAGTCCTAGGCAGACTTGTAATTTTAGATAGTTTTTTTTTCTTTAACATTATACACAGGTATTGTTTATGCTTAGGATTTCCTTTTAATTATTCATTTTTTTGTTTTTTCTCTGGATTTTATACAGTACAAAACACCAATAGTACAGTGTCTGTAAGTGAATGACTTGTGTTGCCATGTTGCTATATTTTGAAGTGTGCCATGTCAGAGTTGAGGCTATATTTCTATTTAACAGCCACTTTTTGGCATCTGATAGAAAGTGAGGCTAGATACTGAGTCTTCTGATGGTTGCCACACTTCCTTCAGCAGCAGGTGCTTTCCCAGGGTACACTTTATGCTCTTGTGACAGTTGTTGAGTGTGGCCAGGTAGAGTGGCCAGAAAGTGTGGGTGTGCATGTGCTCTTGTAATTTGGTGGTGGCAGTTGCTGTCTGGCACTGGTTTTTCTGGTAGCCTAGATAGGTGAGTGGGAGCATGGTAGAACAGGAGCATCTTGTGCCTTATTTCTGTGTACCAGAGAGAAACATGCTTCTGTACAGTATGTCTAAATCCTGATAATATTTAAATTGGACTGCTTAACAGTGTTGTCACTAAACTCTTTCTTCCTTTTTTTGTCTTTCCTCCTTACAGCTGCTCTTGCAGGAGTTTTACACTGGTAAGGTTACTTTTTGTTTGTTATCAATATGGTAGTAATATTTCTCATTCATTTTTAAAACAACTTGAATTATCTCATTTGAATAAGTTACAGATGTGATAGACTTATTCGTTATCTCCATACTTTTCCTTCAAAGGAGAACCTTCCTCTTTACAGGAATCCCCTTTTTTGTTTTTGTTCCTGGGCTTATAAGATTTCTCCAAAACTTTTTGACCAAGTGGCATTTCCACTATATGGGTGACAGACACCTGCTGTTCCCAAAGATGGTCATTTTCACTGAATGGTAGGGGAAACATCTCAATTGATTTTCAGGGCCCTCCAGTTATCCTTTAGGTTCACCTTTAAATTTTGCCCAAGAAAGGAATGCCTGGATTTTGCATTCCTTTCCATTTCTATTGTAGAAATTCAGTCTTTCCTCTTCTTTGTGCACAGGTAGACCTCTGGTTTCCTGGGTGGTGTTTGGGGTGTTTCCTGTGGGTTGTTTGCTTATTACAAGCCTCTCTGAGCCTTTTGCATAAGGCAGGATGTACACCTTAAAAATATAGGTAACTGCTTCTGATATATCTAATGATCCATATGCTCCATCTTCCAACTCAACCCATTCCCTCCTAAGAAGAGCAATAACTGTATTTAAAAGAAAAAAAGAGGGTGCAGTAGTTCTAGTTAGGAAGGGAAGTAGCAGCTTTAGCTGTTCTGTTGCCATCAGCACCACGTTCAAAAAAGAAAGCCCAAAACAACAACACTTTTAGAACCGTAAAGCGTTTTCTGCAGCCTTCTCACCCCACAACACAAGAACACTGATATTTGGCCTACTTTGTTCCTTTTCTCTCATTTCCTTGCCTGTATGGGGAGGGAGCCAGCACTCTTCCAGCCCTACATAGCATACTGGCAGAAGTCATAATATTTACCCAATCAAAAGGGATTTTCAAGACCTGTATCTTTATTTGTTGATAAACTTATCTTTTCATATTTTTATACTAATCTATAATTGACACAGAATACTTCCATATTCATTTCAGTGTCTGCCTAATTTTTTTAATCCATTCCATTAATTGATTTGGCAGGCATACTTTACTATTTTCTTTCCTGAAAGACAAATGTGCTGATTTCAATAGCACTTAACTTTGATTTTTAAGTTTCTGCATTTCCTTTATTGGAGTATTGAAAGAGAGATGCTTATAAATTTGCATTTATATATTTTTCAATTAACACACTTAAAAAGGATTTTGTGAATAAAGGAGACTGGAATCTAATCAGATGTATGAAACCAGACTGAATTACAGCTGCATTAGATCTCTGGTGTTTTCTGATGTGAAAATGTGTACCAAGGAGTTCTTGGTTTGTATATATTGATACAGGTTTGTAAACTTCAGTTTAATTTTTGAGACTCTATTTATTTATTTATTTATTTATTTATTTATTTATTAATCTTTTTTGCAGGTACCACATAACAACTATTTTTGAAAATGACCGTCACTTTTCTCATCTCTCGACACTGGAAAGAGAAATGGCTTTTCGTACTGAAATGGTTAGATTTTTTTTCTATTTCTCAACAATTTAAACAAAGTGGTATTTAGCCTTGATGCTTTTGTGTGCACCAAAATGATTGTGTAACTTCCTAAATTTCACAATGAGCAAAAATGGTGAGGCAAGAAAAAGAAAGCTTTATAAGTATCTTTATATTATATGATGATTTTGAGGTACCAGTATGTTGACTGATTTATAAACTGAAGGTGAATATGAACATCATTTTTATTGGCTCTTCAAGGTTTTTTACTTTTAAATGCATGGTACTATAACATTTATAAAACTTAAGACTTATATAAAAGGTATTTTAAGTTAATATTGTTACAGAATTACATACAAATCAGAAGTGGAAATTAACTCTCAGCTAACTTTCCCTGGTACTGCAGTCTTATTTTGTACCAAAAATTGGAAAACATTTTGTATACTACATTGCTGTTTGGGACCTGTAAGGAAGCATAAACTTAAGCTGGTATTACCTGCAATCTAAAAATGAGAGCATCTTTGTTTACAAAAAGTGTTTTAGCTAAATAGGGTATTTTAAATAAGCTGTTTCATAACATTCTAGACCTCTTTTGAGACAAGTTTGGGGTTTTTTTTTGGATGTTTCAAAGTAGTATTAACACAGTGAAACCTAGAAGCTGTCTTAGTGTTGTTATACAGAATTTCACTTAAAAGAAAGGCTCTTGCATGGCACAGTATATTAGAAGGTACTGTTTGATTAATCACTGAAATTTTGTCCTCCCTGTAGGGTCTTTATTATTCTTATTTCAAGACTGTTATTGAGGCCCCATCTTTTTTGAATGGAGTATGGGAGATGATGAATGACAAGTTAACTGAATACCCTCTGGTGATTAACACATTAAAAAGGTTCAACCTTTACCCAGAGGTAAGTTATGTTTTGAAAGAAATGCCTGTACCAGTGAAAGAAATTCCTGGTTAACTTAACTTTAATATTTGTTTTAAAATGTAAGTGCTTGTATGTTGTACAGAAATAAATTTTCCCTGAAATATGCAGTCATTAATAACACTAAGCTTAAGTACTGTATTCTGTTGTCCTCTCTTTCTGAAGCTGTCCTGCACATTGTGATTTGTTTGCAACTGGCGTTTACCTGATCCACAGCAAGCAGGTGGCAGTCAAACTGGCATTTTTCGTATCTTAATTTTTCTTACTCTGTAGTTGCAATCTACTTTTTATTTTTCTCCTGTTCGTTTTTTGCCTTCATTCAAAGAGTGTGAGGCTGATGTTGCTTGCTTTTGCGCATCACCAGGTCTTTCATAAATGTCTGACATGGTAGGTAGGGTATGTTCATATGGATGCTCTCCATAAGAACTACATCTAGTATAATTATCGTATTGTTTTCTCTGGGCTTGATGCTTCTTTGCGGCACCTGTTAGCATGTGTGCAATGCTGCATGAAGGTGGCTCAACTACTTCTGGTTTGGCAGGTAGCGTGTGGGGACCAAATGCAGAGTGCCTGATGACATAATTGAGTGATGTAGATGTATCCTACAGAAACTAATATTTGCACAACTCTTATGCTGAAAAGAGGAAATATTTACTTAAGAATTTTAAGTTGATTTTTTTTCTTCTGGGTGTTCATGGCAGAGTAAGAAAGGAAACATGAGGGTTATCTGGCCTGCATGTGTTTCCACTGGCAAAACTTGCACTGATTTAAAGGGAGGGCAGGGTTTTTCTGCCTGTGAATAATGCTTTTTCCCCAATTGTCTCTATTGTATCACTGGTCTCATTGATATGAATCTCAGGTCTGTTATTAATGCACTTTTTTTCTTCTAGTCAGGTTAGCTGTTTTGTTATGGAAATAGGAAAAGGATGGCTTTGTGGTTCAAGTACAGATCTAAGTCAAAGGTACGGTGGGTTTTACCATATCTTCTTGCATATAATATACACCTTTCCTCTCCTCCCAAAAAATTTGGGTGTGTGTATTAAGCAGGGAAGCTGTTTTATTCGCTGAGGAAGAAGCGTGCCTGGAGACACCTTGTATGCCATGTAGCGGCCAGGATGGCTGCCACTTGTTAGGCTCAGTAAGTTTTTATGTTGCCTCTGCAATGGTCTGGGGCCTAATCATGTGTTAAATAGAGTAAGTCTTGGGAACACAATGTGTCTAGGAACTGTGGCATCCCAGGAGACAATCTGGTGAGGCAGTAGGCATCTTCTGCCATTCCATGAAGTTCCTGTTGCCTCATAAGATACTCCTGAAAACACAAAGGGCACGTCCACACATGCAGGCACGTGTGTTTGCAGCAGCTCAAATAGCAGCGGCACAAATTTGTACTGGAGATTTGTGCCGGGGCACGCATGCCTGAACATGCACTTTGGTGTGGGGCAAGTTGTGCCACTAGGGACAACCTGACCCTGTCCAGCTACTCCCGGAGCTGCAGCCAGGGGGAACTGAAGGTTGGGGCCAGCACATGTGCAGGCCCCGGTAGTATAGAAAGCTGCCCTGGCGAGCAGCTCAGGGCTACTTGCTCTCAGGAGCTTCTGAGGCCCGGCCAGTTGACATATGGGGAAACTATGCCAACTGGGCTGCTGCAGCAGCTGTTACCTGGAGTGGCCCCTGCAGCAGTCTGGCAGCAGGGACTGCTGTCTGACTATGACCTGCTGCCACATGTGACAGCATCTGCCCCCTTGGGCCTGCAGCCCAGTGGCTACGTGCATGCAAGACCTAGCTAGGGACTGCACAGCTGCCTGGGCTGTGGCATGAGCGCTGCAGCACAGCCAGTTCTGGGCCAGCTGCTAATGGGCTGTGGCTGCACAATTGGCCGTTGTGTGGCACTGCTGCCATGTGTGCCCCTGCCCTGCCGTCTGGGCAGCTATCACCTGGAAGATGTTCTCAGTGTGATGGCCTACTTTAAACTGTCAAAGCGTGTCCTTCTGGCCCCAAATGGCCAGGAGGTCAGCCACCTCATTTGCCCTTGCCCTCCAGCTGGGTCCCTGGTGCCAGCCCTGGGCAGGTTCCTCTGCCTGGGTCCTGCCACTTGCCTCACTAGCATAAAAATTGCAAGTTCTCTGATTTGAAAAAACCCCCCCAAAAATCCCAAATTTACTCTTTAAAATACCCCCAAATCTGTGTTCTTCCATGATTAAAACAAAACACCACTCTCTCTATATATATATATAGAGAGAGAGAGAGAGAGCACGAGAGAGATAAGTTGGGCAACGTTTTGTTGATATATTTACAATTTTAAAGCAGTTTGGAAGCCTACCCGTGCCTCTATAACCATAATAAAATAAATTCTAAATATCTATTTGCTTTGGCGTTTGCTTTTGGTTTTTTATCGTAGAAAAATCGGAGTTCCCCCATACCCCTAGGCTAACCAGGATGTGGGGACAGCTGCCCTTGCAGCCACAACTCCTGTCGGGGCGGAGGGGGGGTAGGGGCATGTGTGTCTGGGGTGGGGAGGGGGTGGTTCATGTGGGGGTTGTGGGTAGGATGTGGAGGGGGATGTACTGTGTGTAGGTTGGTGGGGCTTGAAGGGGACCACCACATGCCTGCCCCTGCCACTCCCTGTGGCAGCAGCATCCAGCTGGGCCATGTATGCTGCAGCACAGCCTCATGGTGGCATGGCGCAGCCTGACCTGTGGTCTGTACATGGTGAACAGCCTCAAACTGGTTTGAGACACCACAACGAGCACGTGCGCGCTCATCTGGATACGCCCAAAGTGTCCAGGAAGTGTAACATCCCAGGAGATAACATCATGACTCTGGAAAACTTTTTTTTCTACATTCTGTCTTCCAGATCAAAGTGTATGTTTTACTTGGGGGTGTGTTTGTATGCAAGAAAATATGGTATTTTAGGTCAGCTAGGTTCTTGTGTGACAGTGATCAAAGCATGTTTCTCTCTCATTTTCTCCATCTCTAAAATAAGGGTAATACTTCTGATATCAGGTGTTCAGACTCAATTCATTACTACCTACAAAATGTATTAAATTGGATGGAAGGTGGCTTTGTGGAAGTGTGGTCTTATGTCACATTCTGAACTCCTTGCTTAGAAAATTCGGCTTACCTTAGAGGTGCAATCTCATGATTCAGACCATTGCCACTGCTCTGATCAGTCCAGGAGGTATCTTATCCTGTTCTGTTTCTCACTGTGTTCTAAACAGACCACAGAGTTCATCATGGCCACATAGATGCACATTTTATCAATAACTGAGCTTTGTGTTAACTATCACTTTGTAGGTGTCTGGGTAGATGGTTAGTGGGGTAAGCATAGTGTAACTTGGATACATTATTTAGAAGATTGTTTTCTTTATGCCTTATGAGTAATATTTGTAACCTTCTTGGATATCTGCTAAGAGCTTCTAACATAAAATGTTCAAATATATCACATTTCTCCATGGTTTTGAATACTTGAGGTTGATGGGATAAATAGACTCCTACACTTAAGCAGGGATAATGTTCAGTCTGTGCTGATTAGTAGGGCTACATTATGAATCATTTCCCAAATGAATGAATCATTTTCTAAACTGCTTAGGTTTATAGAAGGTTAAAGTTTAGAGCCTTGAAGACATCTTAAATTGTCAGAAACTGGTAGACTGCTATGAAAGGCTCTTTGGGGCGTTATACTAATCACAGACAAATTTTCATGTTAGAAAATTCAAATCCTGTTTTCTACACAGGTGGTCCTAGCCAGCTGGTACCGCATATACATAGCAGTAATGGATTTTCTTGGTATTCAGACCAAGACATGCTGGACTGTAAACAGAGGAGAAGGGCTTAGACCTATTGAAAGCTGTGAAGGTAGGGTTACTATCCCCCCACCACATCCATCCAAGCATATATTTCTGGTTTTGTACATTTCAGAAGCATTGATGTTCAGGTGTTTTATTATTGGCTCATTTTCATTTTTACATGCCTATGTTTTAGCAAATCTGCAATGTGTGAAAAACATGGAGGAGGAGTTCTTAAAGGTGAGATTCTGCTCCTTGTGTTTTAGAGTCACAGCACAGAACTTTCATTTTAGGAAGGAGATGCGGGGGTAGACTAAGATGATTTTGACACCTCTGAGTTTGTTTCTTCTAAAGCCTGAAGTGCCTTATACATAATTTTGCAGTTGTTTAATTTTCTTTTTATAGCAACTCCCCTGGAGTGCCTTATTCAAAAGAACTTCAGAATTAATATCTGATCTTCCCTTTGCATGCCACCCCGTGCCAAAACTTGTTTCAAGAGGCCTCAGAAAGGAACTTTAATACTTTCTTCTGCAATGATACCGCTGGGAGAATCCTTTTGCAGCTAATTTTCTGGGTATTCAGACTTTTAAAGAGGAACCTGACTGGATGCGAGGACTTCACATCTGTTGTGATTTATTGCCAAGCTTGGATGTTCATACTTCTACTCTGTGCTATTACAAATCTGGAGACATGTCCCGACTATTAGCTTGTAAACTAGATACTGTCATAAAAAAAATCATTGCCAATGGAACATTCTCTTGATTTTTGTAACGAAAGATGTCTTTTACACACATAAATACAAATATGTTGTAGAATTATATTTCATTTTGTCACTTAATTTAAAGGATTGAAGCAATCTTAATATTTCACTGTTTCTAATCTACATAAAGGTTTCTCATTCTATATTGGGTAACCCCTCCACCTAACAGTTTTTCAGCACATAATAACTTTTGCAGACCCATATGTCATCTTTTCCTTGTTAATCTTTGAGTAGTGAATATGGGCTGCCTGTATTGCAAGTCATTTTGGGAAGGTGGGAAGTTTATAAAGAGATGATGTGCATACTGAGGAACAGAAGAATAAGGGGCATAGAAATACCAGGATCATTAGAGTAGGTGAGTAGGTATTGGTGGAGGATCTCAAGGCTCCTTATAAAATAATGGAAGGAGAACTTTGGCTTAAAGGGTAAGAGAGAGAATAGTGATTTTGAGAAGGTTTAAGAAGAAAAGGGATCACCATACAACTGTTTAAAGGGATAAGATAAACTTGAAATGAAGTCTGAAAGTATTGTCAGTGCCACACTTACTCGTGACATGCCCTACTGACTTATGTGGTTTTACAGTACTGCTTTTTTTATTTTGAAGTGTTTTCCCTTTATCTGTTAGTGTGACACAACCAGTATGAACAAGAGGGGAAACTGAGAAGCAGTATGATGAAGGTGAAAGCATCTTCTTAAAATGGGTTAAAGTGAGATAGGCAGGTGACAAATTTATCTTGATCACAGGAAAGTGGACTTTGGTGTTGGAAACATGTCTGTCTGGGTTGGCTGAGTTACCTGATCTAAAATTGGGGAAAAAATAGAAAATAAAGATAACATACAGATACTACAGTAGAAAATAGGCTTTCTCTGCCCAGTAATAGTACTCTGTGTGCAGGAGACGCAAACAGAGGGTTATGATTGTGTTTCTTTTATTGTTGGGGGTACATTCCTCTTACTGACTCTCCTGGTGAGCTTGGTGATAATAAGCAGTCAGAAAATTTAACTCTTTTCCTTTGTTCCTTTCTGTATATGTGCTGTTATGCTGATGTGTTCGTTAGAATAGATAAGCATATAAAATGATAGACCTTGTCTTGTTAGTTTATTTTGGTCAATGTACGTATTAATTGCTGTTTGTTTCCTAGGATTAGGAGACCCTGCTTCTTTTTATGTTGCTGTGATCTTTCTTTTAAATGGAGTAATGATGTCAGTGTTCTTCTTATATGGGACATACCTAAGGTAAGAACATCAAGCACCAGTCTTTTTCAGCGATAACAATTGTTTGTGCCCTTAGTTAAACTGAAAGTTTCTTCCTATGTTTACAAACACTACAAAGTAAAGTGCAAATGATTATTATTTTTTCCCCCAGATTTCAAGGGGGTAGTATTTGGAAATCAATATGTAGCATAATACCTGTCTTTACAGTATCTGACAGTATCATGACCTCATGGTTTCTCTTTAAATTTTACAGTTTTTATTTTACCTCTAACTAAAAGTAGAACTTTCATCACACTATAGCTACAGTTGTAAGGCACTCCTTGCTTATGAAAAAAGAAACCATAATATTTTTAATGAAAACATAACCAGTTTTCTGCTTCTTGCTAAGTATTTCTATTTTTATTTACACTATCAATAAGCATAACCAAAATGCCCTTTCCAACAAAGTGTTCAGGAGAAAAACAGAAGCATAAATGTGTTCTCAGTGCTCCCTTTTATTGTTGTTGGGCTGTCATGCACATTTTTGGGAGGAGAGTGCATTGCCTTAAATTACAAAACTGTGTGTCTGTGTTTTTCCTCTTCCATCTTTTTTTTGAATATGTGCTGGTTGTTAGGTTTTTGAGTTGTTGGTTGTAGCCGTGTTGGTTATTAGGTTTTCAAAGTTAGAAGAACCGTATTGTGGATAAAAACTAAATGTAGCAGTTCAAATAGGGAAGTTTAGTTCAGCTGATATTTACAGGGATGAGGGTGGCTTTTCTTGTGCCTGAGTAGGGTGCATCTGTTTTCCCACTCCCCGCCTCCACACATTTTTCTGTTTAAATCACCAAATGTTACACGTTTTGTGACAATAGATTACCTTTATATATACCAAGGATGCCTGTTTTACAGCAGGCTATTTGATGTAGAATCCGTATTTTTGGTAAATGTCACACACACATACACTCATGATTGTCCTAAATTCTCAGCAGTTTCCCTCCTCGGTTACATTGTACTGGATGAATCAATCCTTCAAAAAAATCAAGTACTGAAATTATTTGCATTTAAACATAAGACATTTGTAGTCTGATGAAGATTAACATAAAGCCATATGTTTGAAGTGACATAAAGCAATGTGTTTGAAGACCTAAGCCAACTACTAGCTATCTAATAAACTTTTGAAGAAACCTCTTAGGAGGTGATATCATTATTTGTATGTAAGAACTCTTATTCTTTTTTCTGAAGCATTTTCAGACGGAATACCAGATTCTGACAACCAGCAATCTATTATGTTTCTTTGCTTGTTTTTATAATCCTTGACTACAAGGAGACTGGGGAGGTTTGGACATCCCCATGAAATATGAAGGGAAACAAATCAAAAGGCAGCACAGACATTTTGATGTGGTTTTAACATTGAATTGTCCTAGCTTATTTTAACTTTTTCTGATGGCACAAACTGGAAGGCACCTCCCTTGCTATTGCAAGCAGTTATAATATTAACATTTTTTTTAATTTATAAGAAGTTTATGAAGTGCTGTCTTAAAATTAGTTAAGTGATTTACACTGCTATTGTAAGGCTGTTTGAGAATTGCGCTCCTAAAGTGGTTATACTCTTCTAATTTTCAGTCTAAATTTGTTTGTGTTAAATTTATTCTGATTTGTTCTTGTGTGCCAGCATTATCCTGTAGTTTAAATAGATAATCGATCTCCCTTTCATTGTTCACCCTATTTTAGAGAGAGTGCATTCTAAGTCTTCATCTTGTTAGGTTAAACAAGTTGCATACTTTTTAGTCTCCTCACAACTATGGTTGATAGATGAGGTAAAATTTCAAAATCCCACTAAGCCATCAGAAGTTTACTTATGTTCTAAGCCAGTTTTGCTCATCATATGTAGTGGTATACTGAAACCTTTTAGGATGCTCCAGACTTTGAAGATCTTGGAAGGAATCTGTTGACATTGTTCTTGCTTTCCTAGCAATCTGATCAAAACGTTGTCTTGCGTTGCTGCTCTTAGAAAGGGCAGGCATTTGGATGTTGTAAGTGCTGGTGTAATCTTAGGAATTTTCAGTGCGCATATTCCATGTAGCCAAACTAATAGTTCCTTCATCCAGAGCTGACACGTGGCCAGCTGACGTGTGGCATGTGGCCAGCTGAAGCTTCAGTGTTTCTTGAATGTAGAAGAGTCCAAAGTAGGATTTAATTTATGAGTCTGAGACTCAAAAATCTGAAATTTAGTTTCTGTCAACTGGAGGGTAAAATCTTAAATCTTCTTTTTTTTTTTTTTTAATTTTGTACTTGTATTTTAGTATTATTAGTATGATATTTGATCAAGAGGTCTACAAGGGGTGTGGTATGGTTCCTTCCTCCCCACTTCCCCTTTTGTGAGCATGTACGTGTTCTCTTCCTTTATCTCTTTCACTTCTACACGGCGCTATTGTCATCAAACAACACTCTGAATACTCTCCTGCAACTTAACATGCTGTGGGCAAGTCTACATGTTCATTAATGCTCTGTGATTATGGTGCATTAAGCTTAGCACCGGTAATGACAGGTACAAGCTGGCATGCTCCATTAACCGGCATGCTGGCTTGTAAGGTAAAAGCAAAACTGGAATTGCCCACCGTGGCACTTCCGGTTTCGCCGAGCCCCCATGGCTCGGGGCAAAGCAGTTTGCACTGCCGAGCCCCCACGGCCCGGGGCAAAGCAGGCTGTGCGGGGCCTGCCTCCCTGTCCCTTGGGGCTTGCGGGAGGGGCGGCGATGCGGCTGGAGAAGCAGTGGCCCGAACAGGCAAAGACGCCTGTTCGGGCCTCTCAATTAGCTGGCATATTTTGTTATCTGGCACCCCCCCCATTCCCTATGGGTGCTGGATAACAAAGCTTTTGCTGTAATAACTTAATGCGCCATAATTGGTGCTACTGTGCATTAGTGTAGGTGAATTTTTTTGTGATGTTACTGCGCATTAGACTAAATCTACAATGTATTAATACAGGCTTTGCCTACCATGCTACTGCACAGTAGAATTGGTCTACTGTGCTCAAAGCACCTTGTGTAGATGCGCCCAGCATGTTTTTCCCAGAAACAGTTAACCAGATAGTCTTCGCTATTTTATGCTTTGGTATTCTGATCTCTTCTCATGTAGTAAGCTAATGTTCCCCATAGGCTAATATAGCACTACAGCATGCATAATGCAGCTAGTGTTTAGGATATAGGACTGCATCACTACATTGTTTGCTGTTACCATATTTCTCAAACTATATTGACCTTAACTTAAAATATTTGTACTCTTTGTTTTTTAAATGTAAGAGTTTTGTTTCTTTTAATTTATTTTTGTGTTTTGATCTTGATATTTTTGTATTAGTAGAAGGGAAAGGTTATATGTTAACTGCAGCAATGAATAGTTCTGTGTATTTACCATGGTGACTGTCTTAGCACCCAGTTGGTATGTTTTAATTATCTTAAATTGTACCCAGAACTCATTGATTCTGCCTGACCTCTTTATTTTTCCTGGGTGAAAAATCTTGCGGTATTTATCCAGTCTGTTTTTAAAATTCGGTTACTGCTGCCCATATATTGCTAAACAGCTATATTCTGTTGTCCTTTTTAGCCTTAAAAAATAAGAGTAATTAACTTTTTGAGAGTATTATGTTTTCTTAATGTCGTCATTTTTGTAATTTATTCTTTGCTTACAGATTTTGTTTTACTTGATAGGCTTGTATTCTTGTAAACAGGGAAGAAAAATGAAACCACTTGTATACATGCTAATTATCTTTTTCTTTTTTTTTTTTCATTTACTGGCTAGTTGAGTTCACCAACATGTAGAAATAAAAACAGGGTTGCTTCCTAATAAACTTAAACATTATTAAAAATTTCTCTCAGCTAAGTCATAGATCTACTTACATAAGTATTTCAGGGGGAGCTGAAGCCATAGACATTAATGATGTGAAATTTACAAAAGTATTGAAACTTTTTTTTCTCTTTCAGTAGTTTTTCTCCATTTACAAATAACAGAATATTTGATATTCTATTAAATACACTGCATAAGAGCAGAAAGAACTTTTATTGGGTGAATCCCAGCTATGAAATAAAGAAAGATATGGCATTCAGTAGAAAGGAAAACATTTCTGTGAAATTCTTTCTGTAGGGTTCAGCCTTCAGGAGTTCTGGGGATATCATGAAGATGGAACAGATGGTTTCCTGACATTATGCTCCTCTGTAATTGGGGATATCCCAGTGAATTTGTCTGCAAAAATGTTGCTAAAGGTAGCAATTTAGGATTCATGCCTGCCTATCCCATCATAATAAATAGCCATTTTTGTGTAAACATCCTCTCTGTTCTGAGGATTTTAAAAACTGTTAACAGAAGAACATGCTATGAATTTAATTTCTAGCTTGCAAAAATTATATTTTTAATATCAAAGTCATATAAGGACAAAATAAATTTAGAATAACTTTTTCTTTTTCAGAATTTCAGAACTAATGTACTAGAGGCAAGGGCCTTTTTTGGTGGTATCTTTTTAATACACCAAATGTATAAGTTGGGAGAGATGTTAAACAGCCTTTTGGGTATAAAAGGCCCTTCAGGTCTGTGCTATGGACTATCATGTCTACAACAATATTCTAGTCCTACTAAAACTAATACAGACAGTATTAGTATAAAAAAAAAGATCTTGAACTCCAGAACTAAACCTTCCTGTGTCTTGGGCACTTTATACATTTCTACTTCTAAACTGTGGAGTAGTAAACATGTTTTTATAGTGAAATAGTAAAATCTTAGACCTGTACAACAACATGAGAGCACTCCTGCGGTAACTTCATATTTCCAGCAAAGTATAGCATACTACCCAGTTTCTTGAACTTGTTCTTGTGTTTTAAGGCTAAAACAATGAGTCCGTTTGCTTTGTTGCCATATTTTAAAGTTTTCAATATAATATTCTCCTGCTGTAAAAGTAATATTTTAGTCCTTACCTCCCTCACCTTTCCCCAGTCGTTTCATGTGGATGTGATCTTGGCCATAAACTATCAAATGCATTTATTAGCTTGCTTA